ATTTAAAGCAAACAGTAGCATTGCTGAAAGAGAGCGAAATAATTTACAAAAAAAAAACGAAAACGAAAGAAACAAGATCATTTGCGCGCACATCACACAAAATTAATTGGTTAAAGCGAAAATTTTATCGAATCGCCGAATCGACGTGTAAATAAGCTGGCAGCCAGAAAATAAAGTCTAAACAAGCAAAGCAAATATTTACACAGAGCGATACAGGAAAATTTGTGAAGAAGAAGAAAACGAAGAAGAAAAAGTGCTATCTGAGGCAAAAATAAATGGAGAATCCAAAATAGGTACACGAAATAAAATGAAACACAACAAGCGACCTGTGGAAAAATATCGTCTAACAGCGGCGGTGAGTAAGTAAACAAATGTGGAGCCAAAGTTGGCGCTGCGGCAGAACAGAGCGCTGGAGTGAAGTGAAGGAGCAGATGTTTTTCGATTGCCAACATAGCCATGTCTCGATATACTTATACACACCTTTCTTACAAAATTACTTAAACGGTCAGCAGCTGCCGCTACAACTGGGGTACCTCAGCAGAGAAAAGGAGTTAAAGGATATACAGACATACGTACCTACGTGTGAATAAATCAAGGAAAATTAACTTTTTTTGTCTAAGTACGCACAATAAATTGCAATAAAACAGAAAAGAGAAACAAATAATATGTAAAAAAAAATAATCAAGAATATTCAAAACAATTTCAAGTACTTTTTTCAATATGTAGCTGGCAGCTATTAGTTAAAATAAATATGAATAAAAGAAAAAATTAATCATTTACTTAAGAAAAAATGTAAATTAAAAACATTATAAAAATTATGTATCTAATAATAAAATTAAATTAAATTTTAAATATAAATAATAATATTAATTTAAAAAATAATAATAAAAAATTGTTATTAATTAAGAAAAAATTTAAATAGCCACATTATAAAAATTAAGTAATAACAAAATAAAACAAAGTTTAGCAAACTGAAATGAAATAAAATGAAAAATTTTATTTAAAAACAAATTTGTGAGCAAAAATACTTAAAACAAAAAACGTCAAGCTCATTCAAATTGTTTATTTAAAAAAAATAATAATAATAATTAAGTCAAACTAAATTAAATAAGTACAAATAAAATAAAGGAAACTATAAAAAAATAAAACATACATAACACATTAACTTAACCCTTCGATTTGTGAGAAGGTCCCTAGGGACCTTGTACAATTTTAGAAGAAATAACAAGTTACTTGTCTTCATGTTTTGATTTTTTTTTCACTTGTTCTTCAAATTATTTCATTCCTAATATATATGCAGGACGTTAATTTAATCAAAAGACAACATAAATACCAAAGAAGTTGCACATGTACAGTCGAAACATCGAGCAACTCTTTGTAGGTCCCTAAGGACCTTCCCACGAATCTAACGTCATCGGCACTGTCACTCATCGGAGGGTTAAAAAGAAAATGTATTATGTCCATTCAAATAGTAAAATAAAAAATGAACAAACATTAAATAACAAAATTTTCAAACAAAGTTTTCTATTTTGGTTTTGTTATTTTTGAACAAAAAATTATTTAGTACCAGGTTGACCGAGCTTTACCCGGAGTGCATATACTTTTTAAAGTTTTCAAGATTTAGATAGCGTTAATAAAATATTTTGGAAATAAACAAAAAAAGAGGATTTCGATATCTATTAAGAAAATTCCTTACGCTAAATTCATGTGGCAACCCTATTCCGAAATACGCCGGAATTAATGGTACATATCTTGATATACATATGTACTGCGTATACATAAAAAAATGGAAAATATTTTCAGACCAAATCTCTCCACAATACCTAATTTATAATTTCTAAATAGGTGGCAGCCTTATATGAGTCTTCTCGGATATAATGTCTATTCAGATAACCTTAAAATCCCAAACATTATCGGTGTACAAAATTCTTTCATATATGTATATATATATATATACACGAATTGCTCGTTTAATAAAATTGCGAGCTATACTTCGGTTAACCGCGTCTACTCGATGCAATACAGGTAGTTATAAGTAGTTAATAAAATCTTTGTATATATGTACATATGCATAAGTGAGTTCTGATATTAACTTCAGTTTCCAGCCAGCGATCAAATGCACTGCAATCTCAGCTAAATGCAACGAATCCATAACATATGTATATATGTTTGTATTAAGCCATCAATCGACGAGGTACTCNCAAATTTTATGCGTTTTTTTTAAAAAAAAAGTTATCAAGCTCTTAAAAAATCACCCGTTATATGCACATACATACATACATATATGCGTACGAGTATAAACCTTTTAACGAGTAAATTGAAATATACTCCTCCTGCTGTACATACATACATACACACATGCATGCACATGAACATGCTAAGCCATTATTTGTATTGCTGTTCAGTTTTTAATTTTCCCCTTTTTTAAGTTTGCGCGTGCGTGTGTTTTTATAATCCCTTTTTTTTTAATACACGCGGTTGTAAATATTTTGTTAAGTTTTCTCCATTTTTCAGCGTTCGTATTAGTAAACACTTGAAAATTGCGTGCAACTGCGTGGGTGCGCGTATAAACATGCACACGGACATATATGTATATGCATTAGGGTGTTCCTTAAAAAATCGACATCTAAATTTTTTTTGTGAAAATTTCCAAAGTAAAGA